CTTTTTCACCTTATAACCAGAATGTAGTTCTGGTCAATTTCTGTGTGGGCGCTTGGCGCACCTCGTGCGTGAAGTGAGGTTGCTAGTACAACTTGGCTGGGTGTTTTGTACGTATTGTTTTGTACGTATTGTTTTGTACTGTTTCGTATGTAGTTTTTTGTATGTATTGTTTTGTTTGATGTTTGATGCGGATATTAGATGACGTTTCGGTGGCCGTATGGGATAGGAAGGTTGTCTGTGTGGTCAGAGCCTAGACTTGTAGACTATCCGAGGCATCGAGGGTACATAATATTCCATCAAACGTTGTGTTTTGTTTGTTTGGCGTTTGTTTAGTGTTGAATTAGGATATTTTGAATTTGACTTAATGTTTACGTTGTATTGTTGGTTCCATTTCAGTTACATAAATTTTATTAAATTGTCAAAGTTTATGTGTGTTTTATCTAGACTAAGGTTAGGGTTTAACCACCGTGGGTTTTACCACGGTTGCACTGACCGGACAGTTATTACTTAAGCCTAGGGAGAGGTAGATAGTGTAGTCATCCCCCCCCTCTAGCAGGGCTTACATATAATTTTTTTACGCTTAGACTTGGAGATACATTAGGGTGTAGGAAATGTGAAGTAGCGTAAATTTTGAAGATCTTTTACACATGAAAAAAAAAATTACGTCGTTTTTAGCAAACATTCTGAATCTTGCCACAGATATTATTATAATTTGTATCACGTTTGTATAGACCTGACATCTCCCATAATGTATACCCACAAGATTTAACATCGTAAGTGACCAGAGAAATGCGCAACAGAAATTTGCGCACACAGAAAAATGCGCAAAGAGAAAAATGAGCAACAACAAAAAAGCGCACACAGAAAAAAGCGCACACAGAAAAATGCGAAAAAAAGTGCCACCAGAAAAAAAGCGCAAACAGAAATTTGCGCATGCGGAAAAATGAGCAAGGCCTTCTGTACTGACTGGGTTTTTAAATAAATATCGGCCATATGTCAACGGCAATCTTATAAAGTTATTTCAAGTTGGCCTTTTTGTGTGTCAGTCGTTTTGTTCTTGACATTGTTTCACGTCGGCTCCCCCCCCCCCCCACCATGATTTCTTGTCGGGTTCCCCTATTTTTATATATTTATAAACCACCAATGTACAGAAGCACCATTTATAAACCCCCAATGTACAGAAGCACTACTTATAACCCCCTCCCCCAAATGTACAGAAGCACGATTTATACCCCCCCCCCCCAATGTACAGAAGCACCATTGCGAGGGGGGGGGGGGAGTGGCGGTGGCGGACCGCACCGGGTGACACCATTTAGGGGGGGGGGGGGGTGACGCCAAGGCAAAAAGTAGCAAATATATACAGAAAAAAGATAATTTTACTTAATTTACTGATTAATTAGCGTGAATTAAATAAATAGTCTTTTAAGAGCAAAGTGGACAAACCCCGACAAGGGTGGGAGGGGGGGGGAACGGGGGACGACACCATGACATGCAACATCCCGCTGAATTTATAACCGAATATAGATACAAATCGTTGGTATTATCTGTGCATAGTTTAAAGCAATCACCGTGGGGGTGACGGGGGAGGGAAGTAAGTTATTTCAACTAAACGTTGCAATTTTTATGCCTGAGGAAAACTTAATAACCTATAAAAAATTAAATACATCCAGAAGAAAAAAAATATTTGAATACATATTTTTTCTTACGGGGGGGGGGGGGGGGGTGACACCGCACCGGGTGACACCCGACCTCGCTACGCCACTGAGAAGCACTAAACCCCCTGACCTGTACAGGAGCAGGAAATGTGTTGAGCTTCCCGCGCTGTGTAGGGCAGGATGTGTAAAGTAGGGCCATGTATGGGGCCTTAAGCTCATAAAAAAAACTTTGTGCAAACAAATCTGAACTTCGTCACTTACACAGGGCTGTCATTTGATATAGTTCGAATATTAAAAGGTGACATGACGGGGTGCAATTAAAAGGTGACACTACGGGGTGCAATTAAAAGGTGACATGACGGGGTGCAATTAAAAGGTGACATGACGGGGTGCAATTAAAAGGTGACACGACGGGGTGCAATTAAAAGGTGACACGACGGGGTGCAATTAAAAGGTGACATGACGGGGTGCAATTAAAAGGTGACATGACGGGGTGCAATTAAAAGGTGACATGACGGGGTGCAATTAAAAGGTGACACGACGGGGTGCAATTAAAAGGTGACACGACGGGGTGCAATTAAAAGGTGACACGACGGGGTGCAATTAAAAGGTGACACGACGGGGTGCAATTAAAAGGTGACATGACGGGGTGCAATTAAAAGGTGACACGACGGGGTGCAATTAAAAGGTGACACGATGGAGTGCACTTGGGAGACTGGGGCAGGTCACAGACCTAAAATACCAACCACACCTGACCAGGTAACATCCATTCCACAACTGACCACATCTAACCACATCTAACCACATCTGACCACATCTAACGACATCCAACCACATCTAACCACATCTAACCACATCTAACCACATCTAACGACAGCTGACCACATCTAACTACATCTAACCACATCTGACACATCTAATCACATCTAGCCACATCTAACCACATGTAACCACATCCAACCACATCTAACCACAGCTAACCACATCTAACCACATCTAACACATCTAACCACATCTAACTACATCCAACCACATCTAACCACATCTAACGACAGCTGACCACATCTAACGACATCTAGCCACATCTAACCACATCTAACCACATCCAACCACATCTAACCACAGCTAACCACATCTAACCACATCTAACACATCTAACCACATCTAACTACATCCAACCACATCTAACCACATCTAACGACAGCTGACCACATCTAACGACATCTAGCCACATCTAACCACATCTAACCACATCCAACCACATCTAACCACAGCTAACCACATCTAACCACATCTAACACATCTAACACATCTAACTACATCTAACTACATCCAACCACATCTAACCACATCTAACGACAGCTGACCACATCTAACGACATCTAGCCACATCTAACCACATCTAACCACATCCAACCACATCTAACCACAGCTAACCACATCTAATCACATCTAGCCACATCTAACCACATCTAACCACATCCAACCACATCTAACGACATCCAACCACATCTAACAACATCTAACCACAGCTGACCACATCTAACCACATCTAACCACATCTAACCACATCTAACTACATCTAACCACATCTAACCACAGCTGACGACATCTAACCACATCTAACCACATCTGAGCAGGTAACATCCATTCCACAGCTGACCACATCTAACCACATCTAACCACATCTAACCACATCTAACTACATCTAACCACATCTAACCACAGCTGACGACATCTAACCACATCTAACCACATCCAACCACATCTAACGACATCCAACCACATCTAACAACATCTAACCACATCTACCACATCTAACCACATCTAACCACATCTGACACATCTAACCACATCTAACTACATCCAACCACATCTAACCACATCTAACCACAGCTAACCACATCTAACCACATCTAACACATCTAACCACATCTAACCACATCTAACCACATCTAACCACATCTAACGACAGCTGACCACATCTAACTACATCCAACCACATCTAACCACATCTAAACACAACTAACCACATCCAACCACATCTAACCACATCCAACCACATCTAACCACATCTAACAACATCTAACCACAGCTGACCACATATAACCACATCTAACCACATCTACCACATCTAACCACACGTAACCACATCTGACCAAGTAACATCTACTCCACAGCTGACCACATCTAACCACATCTAACCACAGCTGACCACATCTAACCACATCTAACCACATCTGACACATCTAACCACATCTAACCACATCCAACCACATCTAACCACATCTAACCACATCCAACCACATCTAACCACATCTAACCACATCTAACCACAGCTAACCACAGCTGACCACATATAACCACATCTAACCACATCTACCACATCTAACCACATGTAACCACATCTGACCAAGTAACATCTACTCCACAGCTGACCACATCTAACCACATCTAACCACAGCTGACCACATCTAACTACATCTAACCACATCTAACCACATCTAATCACATCTAACCACATCTAACCACAATTAACCACAGCTGACCACAGCTGACCACATCTAACCACATCTAACCACATCTAACCACATCTAACCACATCTAACCACATCTAACCACATCTAAACACAACTAACCACAGCTGACCACATCTAACCACATCTAACCACATCTCACCACATCCAACCACATCCAACCACATCTAACCACATCTCACCACATCCAACCACATCTAACCACATCTAACACATCTTACCACATCTAACCACAGCTGACCACATCTAACCACATTTAAACACATCAACACATCTAACCACAGCTGACCACATCTAACCACATCTAACCACAGCTGACCACATCTAACCACAGCTGACCACATCTAACCACATCTAACCACAGCTGACCACATCTAACCACATCTAACCACATCTAACCACAGCTAACCACATCTAACACATCTAACCACATCTAACCACAGCTGACCACATCTAACCACATCTAACACATCTGACCACATCTAACCACAGCTGACCACATCTAACCACATCTAACACATCTAACACATCTCACCACATCCAACCACATCTAACCACATCTAACACATCTTACCACATCTAACCACAGCTGACCACATCTAACCACATCTAACACATCTAACCACATCTGACACATCTAACCACATCTAACCACAGCTAACCACAGCTGACCACAACTGCCCCAGGAGTCACATCTAACACATCTAACCACAGCTGACCACATCTAACCACAGCTGACCACATCTAACCACATATATCCACATATATCCACATCTAACCACATCCAGCCACATCTAACACATCTAACCACATCTATCCACAGTTGACCACAGCTGACCACAACTGCCCCAGGAGCCACATCTGTGTTGCTGTTGTTGATGTCTGGCGTCAAGTGAGACCATCATGGACGTGAAACCCGAGGCCAACAATCACCTGGAGCAGTTCAGTAAAGCTGTCAACATATTCCGTGACAGGGCTTTACAGGTCAGTGGTGTGTGTGTCTGTGTGTCTGTGTGTGTGTGTGTCTGTGTGTCTGTGTACATATTCCGTGACTGGGCTTTACAGGTCAGTGGTGTGTGTGTCTGTGTGTTTGTGTGTGTGTCTGTGTGTGTGTGTCTGTGTGTGTGTGTGTCAACATATTCCGTGACAGGGCTTTACAGGTCAGTGGTGTGTGTGTCTGTCTGTGTGTGTGTTTGTAATCATATTCCTTCACATGGCTTTACAGGTCAGTGGTGTGTGTTTCTGTGTGTGTCTGTCTCTGTGTGTGTCTGTGTGTGTGTGTCTGTTTATGTGTCTGTATATCTGTATGTGTGTGTGTCTGTGTGTGTGTGTCAACATATTCCGTGACAGGGCTTTACAGGTCAGTGGTGTGTGTGTGTCTGTGTGTGTGTGTCTGTGTGTGTGTCAACATATTCCGTGACAGGGCTTTACAGGTCAGTGGTGTGTGTGTCTGTGTGTGTGTCAACATATTCCGTGACTGGGCTTTACAGGTCAGTGGTGTGTGTGTCTGTGTTTGTGTCTGTCTCTGTGTGTGTCTGTGTGTGTGTCTGTGTGTGTGTGTCAACATATTCCGTGACAGGACTTTACAGGTCAGTGGTGTGTGTGTGTCTGTGTCTGTGTGTGTGTGTCAACATATTCCGTGACAGGGCTTTACAGGTCAGTGGTGTGTGTGTGTCTGTGTGTGTCTGTCTCTGTGTGTGTCTGTGTGTGTGTCTGTGTATGTGTCAGTATGTATGTATGTATGTGTGTGTCTGTGTGTGTCTGTCTCTGTGTGTGTCTGTGTGTGTGTCTGTGTATGTGTCAGTATGTCTGTATGTGTGTGTGTCTGTGTGTGTCAACATATTCCGTGACAGGGCTTTACAGGTCAGTGGTGTGTGTCTGTGTGTGTCTGTGTGTGTCTGTGTGTGTGTCAACATTCCGTGACAGGTGAGTATCCCTATTGTAAATCTCTCCTCAGATTCTTATGTTCCTGTTGTAAATCTCTCCTCAGATTCAAATGTTTCCTGTAAATCTCCCCAGATTCTTATGTTCCTGTTGTAAATCTTTCCCCAGATTCTAATGTTCCTGTAAATCTCTCCTCAGATTCTTATGTTCCTGTTGTAAATCTCTCCCCAGATTCTAATGTTCCCGATGTAAATCTCTCATCAGATTCTAATGTTCCTGTAAATCTCTCCCCAGATTCTGATGTTCCTGTAAATCTCCCCCCCCCCCCAGATGTCAAAAGTTCCTGTTGTAAATCTCTCACCAGATTCTGATGTTCCTGTTGTAAATCTCTCATCAGATTCTAATGTTCCTGTAAATCTCTCCCAGATTCTGATGTTCCTGTAAATCTCTCACAGATTCTGATGTTCCTGTAAATCTCTCCCCAGATTCTGATGTTCCTGTTGTAAATCTCTCATCAGATTCTAATGTTCCTGTAAATCTCTCCCAGATTCTGATGTTCCTGTAAATCTCTCCCAGATTCTGATGTTCCTGTAAATCTCTCCCAGATTCTGATGTTCCTGTAAATCTCTCCCCAGATTCTGATGTTCTTGTTGTAAATCTCTCATCAGATTCTGATGTTCCTGTTGTAAATCTCTCCCCAGATTCTAATGTTCCTGTTGTAAATCTCTCCCCAGATTCTAATGTTCCTGTTGTAAATCTCTCATCAGATTCTAATGTTCGTGTTGTAAATCTCTCATCAGATTCTGATGTTCCTGTAAATCTCTCCCCAGATTCTGATGTTCCTGTTGTAAATCTCTCATCAGATTCTGATGTTCCTGTTGTAAATCTCTCCCCAGATTCTAATGTTCCTGTTGTAAATCTCTCCCCAGATTCTGATGTTCCTGTTGTAAATCTCTCATCAGATTCTGATGTTCCTGTTGTAAATCTCTCATCAGATTCTAATGTTCCTGTAAATCTCTCCCAGATTCTAATGTTTCTGTAAATCTCCCCCAGATTCTAATGTTCCTGTAAATCTCCCCCCCCCCAGATTCTGATGTTCCTGTTGTAAATCTCCCCCCCCAGATTCTGATGTTCCTGTAAATCTCCCCCCAGATTCTGATGTTCCTGTAAATCTCCCCCAGATTCTAATGTTCCTGTAAATCTCCCCCCAGATTCTAATGTTCCTGTAAATCTCCCCCCAGATTCTGATGTTCCTGTTGTAAATCTCCCCCCAGATTCTGATGTTCCTGTTGTAAATCTCCCCCCCCCCCCCAGATTCTGATGTTCCTGTTGTAAATCTCCCCCCCCCCCAGATTCTGATGTTCCTGTAAATCTCCCCCCAGATTCTGATGTTCCTGTTGTACCGAGTGACCCGACGTCTGGTGCTGACCTGCCAAAAGTTTACCTGGGCTGTCTCAGGTGTTGAGCGCATCAGACGAGACGCGGCCAGGGGGTTGAACTTCAAGCAGAGCGCCCACGTACAGGAGATCTTCTGGAAGAGCAAGTTCCTGGACCACTCGGTGGCGGACCCCAGCAACTTCATCACCACCCACAAGGGCTTCAGGCAGCCGAACTGCATCTTCATGCCCAACGTCTCGCTGTACTGCATGACGCGCAAGGAGGCCGTGTTCATTGAGGTCAAGGAGGGCGACAACGTCTACAAGTCCAAACACAGCACGTTTCTCTACCAGAACCAGTACCATCACGCCGTCAACGTCATCACACTTCCGCTGGCCTCGTTCCATAAAATGGCCAGTGACGTAGGCAACCCCCGAATCCCGGTCACGTGGATGGCATGCACTGCCAGAAGCGGCTCCACCCTATTGAGTCAGGTAAATCTTCTGACTCGTGACTTGGCGTCACAATCTTACTGACGCAATAACTCGTTGAATCTTATTGACGCAATAACTCGTTGAATCTTATTGACGCAATAACTCGTTGAATTTTACGGACTGACCCAGTAACTAGTTGAATCTTACTGAGTGAGGTAGTAGATTGTTGAATCTTACTGAGTGAGGCAGTAGATTGTTGAATCTTACTGAGTGAGGCAGTAGATTGTTGAATCTTACTGAATGGCTGACTGCAACTGTTTGTTACTAAATCCTGCCGATCTGATCTGCTGATAGCACTAGACGATATATTGACAAGATTACAACTTAGGCTGCCTTATAGGCAAGACGATATATTGACAAGATTACAACTTAGGCTGCCTTATAGGCAAGACGATATATTGACAAGATTACATCTTAGGCTGCCTTATAGGCTAGACGATATATTGACAAGATTACAACTTAGGCTGCCTTATAGGCTAGACGATATATTGACAAGATTACAACTTAGGCTGCCTTATAGGCAAGACGATATATTGACAAGATTACAACTTAGGCTGCCTTATAGGCTAGACGATATATTGACTAGATTACAACTTAGGCTGCCTTATAGGCAAGACGATATATTGACAAGATTACAACTTAGGCTGCCTTATAGGCAAGACGATATATTGACAAGATTACAACTTAGGCTGCCTTATAGGCTAGACGATATATTGACTAGATTACAACTTAGGCTGCCTTATAGGCAAGACGATATATTGACAAGATTACAACTTAGGCTGCCTTATAGGCAAGACGATATATTGACAAGATTACAACTTAGGCTGCCTTATAGGCTAGACGATATATTGACTAGATTACAACTTAGGCTGCCTTATAGGCTAGACGATATATTGACAAGATTACAACTTAGGCTGCCTTATAGGCTAGACGATATATTGACAAGATTACAACTTAGGCTGGTCTTATAGGCTAGACGATATATTGACAAGATTACAACTTAGGCTGCCTTATAGGCTAGACGATATATTGACAAGATTACAACTTAGGCTGCCTTATAGGCTAGACGATATATTGACAAGATTACAACTTAGGCTGGTCTTATAGGCGTTATGTCTATGTGACTGTCACCCCCTCCCCCCCCCTCCCACACGCTACATTTGCTTGTCTATTTGATTGACGGGCAGCCAACCATGTCACTTGGCTGATGCTGACCTCATTTCATCTGAGCTTGTAATACAGAGTGAACGTTATACTCTCTGCTGGGTAAAGATTGAACGTTATACTCTGCTGGGTAAAGATTGAACGTTATACTCTGCTGGGTAAAGATTGAACGTTATACTCTCTGCTGGGTAAAGATTGAACGTTATACTCTGCTGGGTAAAGATTGAACGTTATACTCTCTGCTGGGTAAAGATTGAACGTTATACTCTCTGCTGGGTAAAGATTGAACGTTATACTCTCTGCTGGGTAAAGATTGAACGTTATACTCTCTGCTGGGTAAAGATTGAACGTTATACTCTCTGCTGGGTAAAGATTGAACGTTATACTCTCTGCTGGGTAAAGATTGAACGTTATACTCTCTGCTGGGTAAAGATTGAACGTTATACCCTCTGCTGGGTAAACGTTATACTCTCTGCTGGGTAAAGATTGAACGTTATACTCTCTGCTGGGTAAAGATTGAACGTTATACTCTGCTGGGTAAAGATTGAACGTTATACTCTCTGCTGGGTAAAGATTGAACGTTATACTCTCTGCTGGGTAAAGATTGAACGTTATACTCTCTGCTGGGTAAAGATTGAACGTTATACTCTGCTGGGTAAAGATTGAACGTTATACTCTCTGCTGGGTAAAGATTGAACGTTATACTCTCTGCTGGGTAAAGATTGAACGTTATACTCTCTGCTGGGTAAAGATTGAACGTTATACTCTCTGCTGGGTAAACGTTATACTCTGCTGGGTAAAGATTGAACGTTATACTCTCTGCTGGGTAAAGATTGAACGTTATACTCTCTGCTGGGTAAAGATTGAACGTTATACTCTCTGCTGGGTAAAGATTGAACGTTATACTCTCTGCTGGGTAAAGATTGAACGTTATACTCTCTGCTGGGTAAAGATTGAACGTTATACTCTCTGCTGGGTAAACGTTATACTCTCTGCTGGGTAAAGATTGAACGTTATACTCTCTGCTGGGTAAAGATTGAACGTTATACCCTCTGCTGGGTAAACGTTATACTCTCTGCTGGGTAAAGATTGAACGTTATACTCTCTGCTGGGTAAAGATTGAACGTTATACTCTGCTGGGTAAAGATTGAACGTTATACTCTCTGCTGGGTAAAGATTGAACGTTATACTCTCTGCTGGGTAAAGATTGAACGTTATACTCTCTGCTGGGTAAAGATTGAACGTTATACTCTGCTGGGTAAAGATTGAACGTTATACTCTCTGCTGGGTAAAGATTGAACGTTATACTCTCTGCTGGGTAAAGATTGAACGTTATACTCTCTGCTGGGTAAAGATTGAACGTTATACTCTCTGCTGGGTAAACGTTATACTCTGCTGGGTAAAGATTGAACGTTATACTCTCTGCTGGGTAAAGATTGAACGTTATACTCTCTGCTGGGTAAAGATTGAACGTTATACTCTCTGCTGGGTAAAGATTGAACGTTATACTCTCTGCTGGGTAAAGATTGAACGTTATACTCTCTGCTGGGTAAAGATTGAACGTTATACTCTCTGCTGGGTAAACGTTATACTCTCTGCTGGGTAAAGATTGAACGTTATACTCTCTGCTGGGTAAAGATTGAACGTTATACTCTCTGCTGGGTAAAGATTGAACGTTATACTCTCTGCTGGGTAAAGATTGAACGTTATACTCTCTGCTGGGTAAAGATTGAACGTTATACTCTCTGCTGGGTAAAGATTGAACGTTATACTCTCTGCTGGGTAAAGTTGTTGATCTATCTGTTTCAGATGATGTGTAGCTGATGATGTGTCTGTTTCAGATGATGTGTAGCTGATGATGTGTCTGTTTCAGATGATGTGTAGCTGATGATGTGTCTGTTTCAGATGATGTGTAGCTGATGATGTGTCTGTTTCAGATGATGTGTAGCTGATGATGTGTCTGTTTCAGATGATGTGTAGCTGATGATGTGTCTGTTTCAGATGATGTGTAGCTGATGATGTGTCTGTTTCAGATGATGTGTAGCTGATGATGTGTCTGTTTCAGATGATGTACCGTATTCCGGGCTTGCTTGTCCTCTCTGAACCGGACGCCATCACCACTCTGGGCTTCCTCTACAAAAACAAACAGCTGCAGCCGGGTGAGTACAACCAGCTGCTGGCCAGCTGTGTCCGGCTGCTGTGTAAACACGACGACCGCTACAACTCTGTGTTCGTCAAGGCCAGACCCAGCACGACCTGTCTGCTGGAGGACATTGTCCAGGTGTTCCCCAAGTTCCGCTACCTCTTCATGTACCGCAACAGCATGAAGAGCATCGTGTCCAACCTCAGCCTCTTGCAGCAGGACCCCGCCCCTAAGGCTCTCCGCTTCATCATGGACAACAGCATCCTCTCGACATTTTTGCCATTCGTCAGGTCGCACTTTTACTACTACAACGTCTTCCTCAACGAGAAGAAGGTGCCGGGCGTGGTGCCCAAGAAGCTGGATTCTGTCGGCATTTTGACGGCAGGCTGGGCGGCCAGTGTGGCGCAGTGTGCCGACCTGCGGTACAGGGGCTACAACGTGGGCTCCATCCTGTACGAGGACTTCATGAACAACCCCAGGCGCTCGCTCTCCGCGCTGCTCAAGCGGCTGGACATCAGGGGCGAGTACCTGGCCCTGGCAGCCGAGGCCCTGAAGGTGGACTTTAACCTGGGCGCCTCGCACGATGTCAGCATGGACCTGCGCCGCATGATGTCGCCAGAGAGCAGGCAGGAAGCAGACAACGTTCTCAAGGCCTATGGGCTACCCAAGCTGGGGGAACGACATGAAATTTCGGGGCTGCTCAAATTAGAATAGCTAACTTCATCTTCTAACAGTGCCATTTTCATCTTGAACAAAATCGCTTACATTCTTCAAACTATCTCATGTTCTCCTGTGTTCCAGAATTTCCATGTTCTCGTGTATATCTAAAACGATTTTTTTATTTATTTTGCCGGCTCACAAGTTTCTGCCTTTCTGCTGTTCTAAAATATAGTCTTATTAAATATCAAGGCAAGTCGCAAGCACAGAAAGGTAAAATGTAAGCTGCTGAAATTAAAAATGAAAACAACAGATTTGTTCCATCTTCTTGCATTGTTTAGGTCTAGTGTTATAATACTTCAAGATCCCTTCCTACATAAAACTTTGGTTTAAAACGTCACATCAACTTCAGAGGTAACATTTTAAATCTATCGCCCGGCTGGCCAACAGTACTAGCAGTATAAATAAATTGAGCGGTGTCACACAATGTATGATTTCTATATGTAAACTACTTGTCTGAAACCTATTTTATGAATCTAGATGTTATCTCCACCGTGCCTTAGATTAAGCCGAAGAGTTTGATCGCTACAAATTGTAAAATTATCCTATCTAGGTGATGAATGAAATCTTGAGATATGTAAGATACTGAATAATGCTAGGTGATGAATGGAATCTTGAGATATGGAAGATACTGAATAATGTTTGAGAATGGATCGAGCTCCCGGGGCTGCGATCAGAGCGTAAGACTACCATCTGTGTATGCTTGTGTGGGAGAGGTCACTTTTGAAACCTGACATGTACAACTATCGGTGCACTTAAATTTGTAAAAAAATAAATAAAAAAAAAATAAAGTAAAATAAAAACTGATCTGTGGCTTTATTTTTATTAATTTAAAGATCTTTTTTACCAACTATTCCTAGCCAATCTTTCATGTACCATTATTTAAGTGAGCACAGATGAGTTCTAAAAGTGAATTTGAGTAAAGGTAAAACAACACTCAAGTTATGTGCGTGATCGAGCAGGAGTTTGTGGAGTTACGATCATATCTTGTAACTTCACTCATTTTAAACTTTGCAGCCGATCATACATCATATGTCGCTTATTGCAGTGTAATTTTAAAATAAACTAGACGACCCAGTTACCCGCCAGGAAACGGCCTGTCAGCTGTAATGCGCAAACCAAACCAATTTCCCACTACGCCCACTCTATAAAGCCTCTTCGCCCAAAATGACTCCCTTTTCTTATATTCGGACTCCTGCACAGTTTCTGTCGGTCAACCATTTATAACGTCTACGCGCGAGAAACGGAAGGGAGGGGGGGGGGGGGTTTCACAAGGAAGTCAAGTTTTGTGGACACTACTAAGTTCAATGACCTCGTGGCTACCAGCAACGTTCCGTGTTGAAAAAAAAAGTTATTACTCGGGTTAAAGAAATTTACAATTTTTTCTTTGGCAAAACAAAGTAATCTAGTCTTTAAAATATGGCTTCGGGCGGCTTTAGATTCTACTTTGAGTTTTATCTGATCTGACAAGCCTCCCCCCCCCCTCTACTTCACTCGCCTGTCTACCTGTCGTCCTCCGTCACGTCTGGGTGTATTAAAATGTTTACCCACTCCTATCAAGTTATTAATCAACTTTTTACCCACTTCTATCAAGTTATTAATCAACTTTTACCCACTCCTATCAAGTTATTAATCAACTTTTTACCCACTCCTATCAAGTTATTAATCAACTTTTACCCACTTTTATCAGGTTATTAAAAAATTTTTGAATCACTTCTAGCAAGTATAAGTTATTTTTCTGTATTATTTTGAAATTAGGTTGATTAAGACTGAAATTTAAATATTCTCACGTTGACCTTAAACATTAATGAAAAAATATCAAAATTTAGTAACAAGATTCAACCACAATAAACACAGGAGTTACAAGCTAATTGGAAAAATATATTTTCGTTGTTGAAATTAATTGTATTTTGATTTTTTTAAAAGTCGTTTTACTGATTGTAGTAGGATAAATGAAGCACAGATATTTCGATGGCCACGACATCATGTAATAATTGTCCCACAGACGTGAGCCGACTGTTGTCAGACATGCGGTATAAGCTATCATATCTAGTGACACGGACATGATTTCCACACGTTACTGGGGTAGATCATTCCAAACATTCTTAATGAGGTCAACCTACCCCGCACCCAATCATGGCGTGCGGCTGTGCTATACAAACAGGGGATTGAAGGAGGTAAATCGGCCCCGCCTACCTGTATTTTGACTTTTATTTTCCACGACGTTTAATTGACTTCTGCTCAGACGCATGCACAAAAACGGTTCCAACTGTTTCCCCTGGACGACCATTCTTCTCTTAGATTTTATTTCGAAGCGAGTGTTAAGACAAGAACAGCGCCGGATATTTTGGGGCATGTGACACCATTTATACTGTCACACAATATCAACAAAATTGTAAAATTTAAGGTCAAAAGAATGTTACATCCAATTAAAATAATTAAATAAGGTGGGAGAGGGGTGCCACTAAACCGAAAATTGTTAGAGAAGCCTTTGGTGACACCCTCAGTTACCGCACGGTGTGACACCCGTCCTAAAGACGCCACTGTGACTGTTAAGATGTCAGTGATATAGATCTAATAAATATAGGCCTAGTTAACTGTATTAGTCATTTCTCAACTTTAGGCAGGAAATTATCAAACAGTTTTTGCCGAGGGCCTCTGATTGTACACCATATGTGTACGAGCCTACAATGTTTGCCGAAGACCTCTGATTGTACATCACATGTGTACGAGCCTACAATGTTTGCCGAGGACCTCTGATTGTACACCAAATGTGTACGAGCCTACAATGTTTTCCGAGGACCTCTGATTGTACACCAAATGTGTACGAGCCTACAATGTTTGCCGAGGACCTCTGATTGTACACCAAATGTGTACGAGCCTACAATGTTTGCCGAGGACCTCTGATTGTACACCAAATGTGTACGAGCCTACAATGTTTGCCGAGGACCTCTGATTGCACACTGCACCAAGTTACTCGACTACTGACATTCCCATACCGGATCTGACAAGTACTTCAACAAGTACTATTATGCACGGTACAAGTCAAGACACTTTCTCATCACACACATGTAGCACACTGTAGCTGTCTATGCTGGACGACTATGGGCAGACTATAACGTGTGTGATTTTATTTTTAAACTTTGTTTCGAGAGTGTTAGGGACTGGGGGATTCATGTTTGGTGCACATGGGTGAAGTTAAGGGAGAATTTTTTGGGATAATTAGCTTTATAAGGGTTTAATGAGTAAAGAATCCTTTTTAGACCTATGATCCTTTGGAGAGAAGAAGTAGAGTTCATATATTTCTTAACCTAGGCATTTTGAAAGGAAAGTGTGGTCAGCACTTTGCGCAGCCGCCTTTACTGTCCCTAATTTGAGTTAGGTGCCCATCAAAGGTTTCCCTCAAATGGGCTTGCAGCGTACAAAATAAATCTATTGGCATTCTTAAGAATAAGAAGCAGTGAAACTAGCAAAATACATCATAAGTATATTCCATCCAGAATATTTACTAGCCTAACCCTAACCTTATCCATAACTGTAATATCCTATCTAGTCAGGGGCGGAACTACCATGCCGCCAGACCCATCAATGCGTTTTTTTAAAAATAAATTAGGTTTTTCGTGCATCTTGATAGTGGTTTTGTAAAAAAAAAATACAACAACAACAGTGATTGTTCTGCTGTAACATAACACACACTTCTGCGTAGAAAAATATTTTTAAAATCTACATGAGCTGTAGGAAGGATGAAGGATAGGCAAACTTTCACACTACTTCCATGACTTATTGCCCTTCTTAGTCTAATAGGGGGAGAGGCGTCGCGATGCTGGGGGGGGGGGGGGGGGGGTGGACCGCACCGGGTGACACAATTAGAGTGGTGACACCAAGACAAAAGATTGCAAGGTATATAGAATAAATATGTTTTTGCCCATTCAATGAATAGTTAATCAGAGTTTAAAATAAATATATAAGTAGCCTACATAATGACGATCGTTACAAGGTAGGACACCATGACGTAAACATGCAAACTATAGAGAAAACAATACTACAACCTGCTTAATTAACAACAGACTCTAGATTAACATCAGTAAAATTAAATGTGATCACGTTAAAGCTTTTTCGGGGCGGGGGGGGGGGGGGGGCGTGTGTGACACCAACTGGAAAATTTACAGCGGAAAAAGAAGAGGGAGCGGGTGTGACACCATGACTTGCCGTACCGGGTGACACCCGACCTAGCGACGCCACTGAATTGGGTTGCCCATAAAACTCCTTGAAATAGTTCTGTACTAATTAATTTTAAAAGTAATTGCTTCTCTTAATTATTATTCAAATAAAATATACTAAAGAATGATAGTGATTTAAAACGAAATATATTTCAAAATTAATTTAAAAATTAAAAATATAAATACAAAAAAATCATAAAAAGAAACAGAACGCAAGAAGCCAATACACATATCAAGCTTCCTTGTTTATAAATTTTTGTCCGGCTTCTCTAAAGTTTTGAAAAACATAAAATAATGTGATACAAATGAATTTGGACATATTTTTGTCTGATTTATTGTCTGATGATGGATATACTTTGAAATAAAATAGGTTAAACAACTACTCAATTAGGAAATGGATCAATTTAAAATTCAGTGAAGCAGGCTACTAGCATATATATATATATATATATATATATATATATATATATATATATATATATATATATATATATATATAATGTGTGTGTGTGTGTGTGTGTGTATGGGGCCCAGTTTTTTTTTTTTTTGCGGGGTAGCCTTTCTTATAGTTCCGCCACTGCCCATATTTATTAGATTCAAGGTCAATTAATAATCAACAGGCGTTTCTTTGGCAGGTTTTTTTTTTTGGGGGGGGGGGGGGAAGGATGCCAAGCTAAATAACAAAAGTTTATAAATTATAAATTTTAAAATAACATAAGAAACCAATAACAGTGTTATCAATCATAGTTCTTTATAAAATAATGCCCATGCAGTTAGTCTAATTAAAAATAAGATTCGCATGAGTATTTAAAATTAATACCATAAATATTAAAATCACATAATTAATTATTAATAAAGTATACAGAAAAATGCGAATTCAAAAGTTATTTCTGGGGAAATTCATTCTGTTATTTTTATACGATACAATTTATTTATTTGCAAAACCGGAAGTTGAAATGGTTTAATATATCGTCAGGTTTGGATTTGTTTAGACTACTTCTGTGTGTAGATTTACTTCACTATCAAATGGCTATTAATTTGTTTTGTGGCAAATTAAGTTAGTTTTTTTTTTAAATTAAATATAGATTAGATTTTTACAAAATATAATTTGCGATTTGTAAAATGTTGAGGTCTTACGAATAATTGTTTAGGCCTAGATTTACTAGATTTAGAATTTAGGGTAATCTATCGTTTTGGGTACGTAAAATCGCCCGCGGCTATTTATGTACGAAAACGTACCTCGTTGTCAAGGCTTTAATAGAAGTATATTGTCATACTTTTGTGTCAAATATTATAGATAAATGAATAATAAACCTAAATCAATGGCTAAATATAATATATATCGATATAGGCCAGAAATTAACTTTAAACAGCAGTGTCTGAGAGCAAGATTTGCTATATAAACAGCAGCCATTTGTAAAATAGAGTGGCTTCCCCCTGAATCTGGCGCTAAAAGCTTATAAAAATAAAACTTAGACAAGATGGCTGCTATAGTAAATGAGCATGGTTGCATCTGTTGGAAACATCGCTAGTCTTCATTTATTACGGAAAAGTTTTAATTCAATTGTTTAAAAACAGGTACATAAATGAATCAAGGAAACATTTTTGAATTTTTAAAAACATAAATCCTCCTCAAAATGTGAAATAATTATTAAAATTTAAGGAGTCACCTGTTTTTCACATTACAAATCGCGAGCGATTTTACGTACCCAAAACGATATATTACCGAATTTAGATCTAGATCTAGATTTCTAGATCTAGATCTAGATCTAGAGATCTAGACTAGATCTAGATTCTACTAAAACTAAATCTAGATTGACTAGATCTAGATCTAGAATAATAAGAATAGAATGCAGGACTAGATCTAGATTCTAGATCTAAAGATCTATCTACTCTCAACTAGATCTAGAGATCTAGAAATCTAGATATCAATTATGGGTAATCTATCGTTTAAAATCGCCCGCGGCTATTAATGTACGAAAACCTTACCTCATTGTCAAGGCTTTAAACTTTAAAAGAAGTTAATTGTCATATATTTGTGTCAAATATTATAGATAAATGAATAATAAACCTAAATCAATGGCTAAATATATCGCGATATAGGCCAGAAATTAACTTTAAACAGCAGCGTCTGAGAGCAAGATTTGCTATATAAACAGCAGCCATTTGTAAAATAGAGTGGCTTCCCCCTGAATCTGCGCTATAAGCTTATAAAAATAAAACTTAAACAAGATGGCTGCTATAGTAAATGAGCATGGTTGCATATGTTGGAAACATCGCTAGTCTTCATTTATTACGGAAAAGTTTTAATTCAATTGTTTAAAAACGGGTACATAAATGAAACAAGGAAACTTTTTTGTATTTTAAAAAACATAAATCCTCCTCAAAATGTGAAATAATTATTAAAATTTAAGGAGTCACCTGTTTTTCACATTACTAGTCGCGGGCGATTTTACGTACCCAAAACGATAGATTACCCAATTATGACAATTATCAAGTTATCTAGTAGAAGTCTAGATTTCTAGATATAGGCCTAATATTCTAGAATGAGTTGAATAAGAATGAGAATCTAGATCTAGATGTCTAGATCCTAGATCTAGTCTCTAGACTTTTACTCTAGACTCTAGAGTCTAAAGAAGATTCAAGCAATCAATAGTTTTAGTTAGTTACTCAACTTCAATGGTTATGAACTACTTGACTTAGTCATGAGTGTTTTAAAGAAATAATTAATAATTCTATATTCACTCTCACTTAATCGAATGTTGATCTGGATTAGTAAGATGATAAATTATTAAAATGATAAGTAAATAAGTAGGGCCTAACTATAGATAATCTCATATGGATAGCAAAGTTAGTTAACATGCCATGGTGTATGCACTTTAGGGCTGCTGATTTCTTAACCAATATGGACTCACAATGAACCCTAACTAAAACATATCTGGATTTTTTTCCTGCTGACAAAAAATACGAGCGGGCAATATTCTTTGAATTTTGTTTGTCCACACTACCGCCCAGATGTGGATGGGCAAGCTGTATAAAAGCATTGACTATACGCTTATTACCCTCTGTAATATTTGGGGTAGAACACCTCTTGGCAAACACCTAGGCGTTATCGGCGTCACAGGATGCTCCTGAGAGCCACCAGTTACACTACTGCAAGGGTAAAATGAGTAATGCTCATGGGGGAGCAAGGGCATCAGCGGTCACCCCTGGTGTTGTTTGAGTGTTATATCAAGTAGTACCCCTGATGCCCAATCTGCTGACCCCAGGTGTTATATAGCACAGGGGAATTTATTCATTGATTATAATAGCCTACCTTGCTTTAGTGTATGGCACTCTTTGAAATGAATGTATGCACTATAGTGCTCATCAGTGTTTCTTCCAGACTTTTTTTACTCTGGGGGTGCACTTGAAATTTTCGGGTGGAAGGGGGGGGGTGGTGGACACAGTATATATTTTCAATATAAATTCCATTTTGTTCGGGGGGGGGGGGGGGGGGGCGGTAGACTTCTTGAAGAGATGCCTGGAAGAAACTGTGGTGCTCATGGAAGTGCACTGGCATGGTCCTGAGGATGCTTCTGGTGCGATTTGACCATTGACTGAAGTAGTATATGTGACCTTCAGTGTATGACGCCCAATCAGCGAACTCCAGGTTGCAAAATAGCTGCTTGGAAACTCAGGGTGCCACCCACACACAGCTGTTGGGGCACTGTATCTCTGAATTAAAATGTTTTTATGGCAAAAACTTCCTCTCAATGTTTCATTTCAAAGTAGCTGTTGAGTTACAGACATGCAGACCAAGGCACACATACTTTCATTTCTTATAGATAAATCTAGTGGTTGGAAGATAAACCTTTCCATTTTGTCATTTTTCAATCAGATAGATAGTGAGTTAATGATTGTTTTATAAATAGATTTATTTCACTACCTAAAATATGAGCATTAGAATTTGTGTTTTGTAAACTTAAAATAGATACATTTCATTGGAATATGTTAAATTAGGAAATAATTTAAAATTAAAATTTATGATACATACAATATTAGATGATAATATTAGCTGCGATTTGTGTTAAGGACCCAGGTTTTGATGCAAATTAGCATTTGTGTTAAGGACCCAGGGTTTGATGCAAATTACCTTTTTTTGAATTTAAATTAAAAAAATTAGTGAAAAAGCTTGCCCATTTTAATACACTGTTCTGACTTAGTATTTAGTGAAGAGCTCAAATTTAAAATGATGATCACATAATAATTAATATTGATATATTGATTTAATATGTAGTTTTTCTCTGTATATTCCTGATATAAATCTCTGTCATTGGACTTGTTGACATGTCAGTCCTGTATTTCACATGGAATTTTTTTATATTGGTATATTGTATCTAGGACAGTTATATTTTCTGGACCACGTTGTGATCAGAATTGAAATACAGTTTTTTAAAATCACTCGTTGCCATTGGCACTATTAGAATAAAAATCTTATTGCTATAGAGTACCTTCCAGTTACAGTTGCATCTTCTTAGTACTTTCTTAAACAAAGTTTTTTGTGGAAAGGTGTTCTGTAAGAAATATTAATGGCCAAATCTTCTTCTTCTTGTTCTTAATTTTAGTATTGGAAGGGATCCCCTCCAACACAATTAAGTATACGTGTCAACTGTTTATGCGCCATTGAGTCCATTGACTCCAATTTCAGCCTGCTTTTCTTTGTAGATTTGCTTCCATAGTCTTTGTCCAACCAAGAACAAACTACAAGGCAGCAGTTGTTAGTTGCACTGCTAGATGCAAATTATGGAGGCTTTTGCACTTATTATGCATTGAGAGTGACAAAACTTTTATTTTGGTGTTAGCTTTTGTTTGCTACTAGTTATAATTGCTTGGGAGATTTTTTTTATTAGTAACACTAACTGGAGTCTGCATGCCAGTTCACACTGACTGGGGCAGAAAAATTCAGCTTGGACTTAGATATGATCTCTTAATGGAATAATTATTTTACTCCTGGTAGCCAGATACATATGTTCAGGTCCATTTTGGCCAGTAAGCTTTTTTTTTTAATGCTAGTTGTCTTAAGAAAGATAATCTCTATTCAAATGTATACCTTTTTTATTTGTAAGAGTTATTCCTCTTTTATGGTTGATATGTTTACAACAGTTGTTAATTTTTCATGAGAGAAATTTCTAAATAAACCGGGAGTGATCTCCCCTAAACTTTCTCGAATATTTTTATATAAAATAACAGGGGATGGGAACTCGGGCTATAGACATGATTTTTAATCCATTTTAAATACTTAAAGTTTTAAAAATAGAATAAAATCTCGTAGACAAAAGAATTACACACCAAGTGAACGCTAAATAAAAAAGTGCATAATAGTACTTTAAAAATTTACATTAGTTTTTTGAGAAATCAGAAGTAGCGTAAATTACTACTTCCGTTCAACGGAAATGACTCAAAATTTAACAGAAGGTAGAGAATTAGATCTTTTACTTACATGTGAAATTTCATTTATCTATCTGAACTAGTACTCAAGTTATAGGCTTTTGAAAATTTCGAAGTAGGAAAAGTACCACTTCCGGTTATCGGAAATCGCTCAAAAGTTGATACGGATCTACGATTTTGATAAAATACTTATATATGAAATTTCATCAACCTAACATGTAAGTTTTTAAAGTACTAATAATATTGCGCACTATTATGCACATTTTGTTTTAGCGTTCGCTTGGTGCGCAATGCTTTTTTTCCACAAGATTCTATTCTATTTTTAAAAGTTTAAGTAATTAAAAATCAAGTCTGTATTCCGAGTTATATAAGAATATTCAAGAAAGTTTAGGGGAGATCACTCCCGGTTTATTTAAAACAAATTATGAGTTGATTAGGCAGTATATTTGTTTGGAATTAAGAAATTTCTATTTCTGAAGGTATTGTTATCATGTGGATTGTTTTGTAAATAAAAATAGTTGTAACTGTAACCACATTATTGATACATCATGGTCATACACAGCACCTTAATGTGCATGTGTCTCTCCTATAGAATAACATTGTGGTGTACCAGACACCAAGAATAAGTTAGAATATGTTGGTCTTATGTCTAGCAACTTGTACTCAACAGGTATCACATTCAGCTACAGTGCTAGATAATGGCTCTATTGTCTGGGTATAGCTTGCTCTTGGTGTTAATAAGTTAACTGACATTACATTTTGAAAATGAACTTTGTGTAAATAGAAGTACAAAATAAGAAAACAATGCCTTCACCATTAGTTTTAAATCATATGTTTATACATTAATTGTAGGGAGAAGGGAAGAATGATAGAGAATTATAGATTTAGCATCTATATTTATAAGCCAAGATATTGTTCCAAAGATACTATATCATAGATCAATCTGAAGATAATGTACCATTAAAAAGTAGGACCAATGTAAAGATTTAAAAAATAATTGACGACAAAGAGCAGCTTAATCAATTAGTTGTTTATAAACCCAGGATATTCTTTGAGTTGTATTACTACTTTCTAATGTTCCATTTGCCATCATGCTCTCTCCTCCCCCAGTGGCACATAGAGCTTCTCAATACTTGACCAGTATGATTTTCTAACAAACTAATTAAAGTGGGCAATAAATAAATTGTGTTGATTTAGTAGCTGCTGTTGGTGATTAAACACCACATTTTGCAGCCTTTGTTTCTCAACACCAGCTTGTAATCTGCCTTTTAGTTTGAAATGTTCATGATTTTTTTTTTAATGAGTAGGCCTAATTAGTGAGCTACTGTTCTGTATCATTTGGTGAATCAACTTGTTTTACTTGAGTTAAGGTTAAGTCATTTAAAGTTTATTGGTGAGAATAATTTAATATTTTTTTATCTTATTCTCAATAGACCTGTATGTGACTTGCCTTTGGGCTGGCATTTCTTTTAGAAGACCCCTGCTAGCTTACTCTTTTAAAAAATGGTATAGTAGCTGTATCCTCAGTTCTGAAAGTAGATGTTATCTATTGATGAAATAAGCTGTTATCCAGTGGTAAAATGGTAGATATTTATTTCCAGGTGCCATCATGGACGTTGCTGAATGACAACATGCTATGGAATCAAAGGTAAGTCAAAAGATGTGTTACATTTATGTCTTACTTCTTGTTGTTTATACTGTTTGTATTTGTTGGTGATTTCACTGTTGGTGGCTCCACCTAACGTTACATTGTTTGTACTTATTGATATAATTTTCACTGTTGGTGATTCCACCTAAATTCCATTATAACTTTCAATGTATAGACAAGTTTGTATACACTTTTGGTTCACTATATAAGCATAACAATCTTGTTGTTTATTTTTTGGTAACCATGAAAGGATCATCTAGGCATAAATGTTTTTTTTTATTGGAGTCAAGCCTAAGAAATGTAAATTTAAAATGTAGCATACAGGATTTAAAGTGGCTAAGACATTCTTAAATTATTTACTTGCCATTCCCCAGTAATAGAATCTACAGAGTATAATAGTGTATACATTGATTGTAATATTATTTAGTTGATCATCAATCAATATTTTTGGCAATTAAAAAATTTTCTATAAAAGTAAAAGCCATCTTTTTAAAAACTTAAACTCTGCTGTAAACTTGACAATAATATTAACATCATGAAATGAAAATATGTTATACTAAGAAAATACCGTATGAACTTTAAGGCCCACATATGATAATAGCATACTGACAATACTTGCATGCTCTGATGGTTTGTGACTTAACACCAGTAGCGTAGCGAGGGGGGGGGGGGCGGGGGACATATGTTCCCTGGCGCCGACCTTAGGGGGCGCCAAAATGGGTTGGAAAAATAAATTGAAAGGTTGAGGGGCGTGCAAATCGAAAGTTTGAGGGGGGGGGTGCAAATCGAAAGTTTGAGGGGAGGGGGTGCAAATCGAAAAGTTTGTCCCCGGGCGCCGGGAAGGGTCGCTACGCCTCTGCTTAACGCAAAGTCAAATTTTAAACCACCCCTTTTGCACTAGCTCTTGAATAACAAATGTGTGGAATTTTTGAAAGCTCTGCAGTTGTTTTGTAAGTGTGATAGCTGTCATGTTAAAAAAGTATGGGTAGCCACTGTGTGTAGAAAGTCTGGTAGCCACTGTGTGTAGAAAGTCTGGTAGCCACTGTGTGTAGAAAGTCTGGTAGCCACTGTATGTAGAAAGTCTGGTAGCCACTGTGTGTAGAAAGTCTGGTAGCCACTGTGTGTAGAAAGTCTGGTAGCCACTGTGTGTAGAAAGTCTGGTAGCCACTGTGTGTAGAAAGTCTGGTAGCCACTGTGTGTAGAAAGTCTGGTAGCCACTGTGTGTAGAAAGTCTGGTAGCCACTGTGTGTAGAAAGTCTGGTAGCCATTGTGTGTAGAAAGTCTGGTAGCCACTGTGTGTAGAAAGTCTGGTAGCCACTGTGTGTAGAAAGTCTGGTAGCCACTGTGTGTAGAAAGTCTGGTAGCCACTGTGTGTAGAAAGTCTGGTAGCCACTGTGTGTAGAACGTCTGGTAGCCACTGTGTGTAGAAAGTCTGGTAGCCAGTGTGTGTAGAACGTCTGTTAGCCACTGTGTGTAGAAAGTCTGGTAGCCACTGTGTGTAGAAAGTCTGGTAGCCACTGTGTGTAGAAAGTCTGGTAGCCACTGTGTGTAGAAAGTCTGGTAGCCACTGTGTGTAGAAAGTCTGGTAGCCAGTGTGTGTAGAAAGTCTGGTAGCCACTGTGTGTAGAAAGTCTGGTAGCCACTGTGTGTAGAAAGTCTGGTAGCCAGTGTGTGTAGAACGTCTGGTAGCCACTGTGTGTAGAAAGTCTGGTAGCCACTGTGTGTAGAACGTCTGTTAGCCACTGTGTGTAGAAAGTCTGGTAGCCACTGTGTGTAGAAAGTCTGGTAGCCACTGTGTGTAGAAAGTCTGGTAGCCACTGTGTGTAGAAAGTCTGGTAGCCACTGTGTGTAGAAAGTCTGGTAGCCAGTGTGTGTAGAAAGTCTGGTAGCCACTGTGTGTAGAAAGTCTGGTAGCCACTGTGTGTAGAAAGTCTGGTAGCCACTGTGTGTAGAAAGTCTGGTAGCCACTGTGTGTAGAAAGTCTGGTAGCCACTGTGTGTAGAAAGTCTGGTAGCCACTGTGTGTAGAAAGTCTGGTAGCCACTGTGTGTAGAAAGTCTGGTAGCCACTGTGTGTAGAAAGTCTGGTAGCCACTGTGTGTAGAAAGTCTGGTAGCGAGTGCCATAAAGCTGTGGCGTGCAAGCCTGGCGTGTAGGTACGAGTACCAGCTACTGTGGTGGAGGGGAGATACACGCCGTCACAGTAGATATTAGAATCTCGGCTTGCTATCGGTGGCTAGGCAGCAAGCAAGGAAAGGTAAAGTTTATTTCTACTACTAGTTTTTGTTTACTTGTAGTTTCTCTACATTTCCTTGTAGCTATTTTATAGCCTTAATTGTCTAATGTATCAATATGTTTAAAAAATATCTTCTCTGATCATTTGATGCCGACACATTAGTAGAATTATTGTATAGGATATTAAACACATTTGTCAGATCGCTTAGCCAGGCCTGCTTATCTAGAGGTAGACACAGAACACACCCCACGTACACTGTGGTGTATGTGACCGTGAAGTATCTTTACTGAAGAACTGACCCAACGCTTTAGTCTAAGTCATCGCCCGACCACACATGTTGCAAGGTTGGAACTCAGGGGTCATGACATGACATCGATCTTACACTCATCGACCTTTTTTCTAATGACCTAACCTGTTATCGTTCATCTCAAATTACCTTACTTTTTATCGTACTTTTCAAATGTCAAGCTATTGTCCTACACTCCAAATGACCTAACCTTATAATATACTTTTCAAATAATCTAACGTGTCCTAGTACATTTTAAATGACTTAGCGTGCACCATCTTACGCTTTTACACTTGAAATACTATAGCATCGTTCTATAACATACACTTGAAGTGGCTTGCTTCAAGCGAACATTTAATGTAGCTTATGACGTACATCTTCCAGCCCTTAGCACATGACGTACATCACCCAGCCAGTAGCACATGATGTACATCACCCAGCCAGTAGCACATGACGTACATGACCCAGCCAGTAGCACATGACGTACATGACCCAGCCAGTAGCACATGACCCAGCCAGTAGTACATGACCCAGCCAGTAGCACATGACGTACATGACCCAGCCAGTAGCACATGACGTACATGACCCAGCCAGTAGCACATGACGTACATGACCCAGCCAGTAGCACATGACCCAGCCAGTAGTACATGACCCAGCCAGTAGCACATGACCCAGCCAGTAGTACATGACCCAGCCAGTAGCACATGTCGTACATCACCCAGCCAGTAGCACATGACGTACATGACCCAGCCAGTAGCACATGACGTACATGACCCAGCCAGTAGCACATGACCCAGCCAGTAGCACATGACGTACATCACCCAGCCCTTAGCACATGACCTACATCTTCCAGCCAGTAGCACATGACGTACATGACCCAGCCAGTAACACATGACGTACATGACCCAGCCAGTAGCACATGACGTACATCTTCCAGCCAGTAGCACATGACGTACATCACCCAGCCAGTAGCACATGACGTACATGACCCAGCCAGTAGCACATGACGTACATGACCCAGCCAGTAGCACATGACGTACATCACCCAGCCAGTAGCACATGACGTACATGACCCAGCCAGTAGCACATGACGTACATCACCCAGCCAGTAGCACATGACGTACATCTTCCAGCCAGTAGCACATGACGTACATCTTCCAGCCAGTAGCACATGACGTACATCACCCAGCCAGTAGCACATGACGTACATGACCCAGCCAGTAGCACATGACGTACATCACCCAGCCAGTAGCACATGACGTACATCACCCAGCCCTTAGCACATGACGTACATCTTCCAGCCAGTAGCACATGACGTACATGACCCAGCCAGTAGCACATGACGTACATGACCCAGCCAGTAGCACATGACGTACATGACCGAGCCAGTAGCACATGACGTACATGACCCAGCCAGTAGCACATGACGTACATCACCCAGCCCTTAGCACATGACGTACATCTTCCAGCCAGTAGCACATGACGTACATCACCCAGCCATTAGCACATGACGTACATGACCCAGCCAGTAGCACATGACGTACATGACCCAGCCAGTAGCACATGACCCAGCCAGTAGTACATGACCCAGCCAGTAGCACATGACCCAGCCAGTAGTACATGACCCAGCCAGTAGCACATGTCGTACATCACCCAGCCAGTAGCACATGACGTACATGACCCAGCCAGTAGCACATGACGTACATGACCCAGCCAGTAGCACATGACCCAGCCAGTAGCACATGACGTACATCACCCAGCCCTTAGCACATGACCTACATCTTCCAGCCAGTAGCACATGACGTACATGACCCAGCCAGTAACACATGACGTACATGACCCAGCCAGTAGCACATGACGTACATCTTCCAGCCAGTAGCACATGACGTACATCACCCAGCCAGTAGCACATGACGTACATGACCCAGCCAGTAGCACATGACGTACATGACCCAGCCAGTAGCACATGACGTACATCACCCAGCCAGTAGCACATGACGTACATGACCCAGCCAGTAGCACATGACGTACATCACCCAGCCAGTAGCACATGACGTACATCTTCCAGCCAGTAGCACATGACGTACATCTTCCAGCCAGTAGCACATGACGTACATCACCCAGCCAGTAGCACATGACGTACATGACCCAGCCAGTAGCACATGACGTACATCACCCAGCCAGTAGCACATGACGTACATCACCCAGCCCTTAGCACATGACGTACATCTTCCAGCCAGTAGCACATGACGTACATGACCCAGCCAGTAGCACATGACGTACATGACCCAGCCAGTAGCACATGACGTACATGACCGAGCCAGTAGCACATGACGTACATGACCCAGCCAGTAGCACATGACGTACATCACCCAGCCCTTAGCACATGACGTACATCTTCCAGCCAGTAGCACATGACGTACATCACCCAGCCATTAGCACATGACGTACATGACCCAGCCAGTAGCACATGACGTACA